CCCCCCCCCCGACAAACCAAAAAACAAAAAAAACCCAAACAACCCCAAAAAACCAAAAACCTGTTGTTCTTCAAGGGATTCCACCAGAGCCAGGTGCAAGTCCACTATCTGCTACCCCGCCATCAGCTGTGTCCAGGCAGCAGCCATGGCCTCCAGCCTGGCCCTTCTGTTCATCCAGGGAATCCCTTGCAGTAATGCTTGGTGACTTGTGGCTTTCCTGACAGCTGTCCTCTGTGTGGATTATTGCCCATGCCTGAGAAACCTCCTCAGGGTGCTAGGTCCCCTAATCTGCCAACAGGACACTTGGAGAAGTTCCTCATGCCTTTTTGAAACCCTTGATAGAGTGAATCCCAACAGGCAGAGACAAAACCTCCCAGCCCAGCTCTGTTCCATCCCATCCTGGATGAGGACTGGAGCTGGTTTTCCCCCATTGTGGCTTCTTTTGGCATCATTCATTTCAGGAGGAGTTGCTGGGTGATGAGGAGGCTACTGCAGCCCGTGAGCAGAGGCACAGACACCCTTTGTACAACACCTCTCATTAGTGCTTCCTAACTCTCTCCTCTTTTGGAAATAGAGGAAGGGCAGCATACCTCCAAGACCAGTGCACTGGCCCTCAGCTCTTAGCCCCAGCTCCACGCACAGCAACTGGGAGCTGTCTCACTCTGGCCCCTGAGTCTCAACTCCGCTGCTCTCCATGGCCCGTGGCACAGGCTTGTGTTCAGACACACTGCGTGAACTTGGCCAGCCCTGTTTATATTGCATTTTTTCCCGCCTACCATTTAACGGCAGAGGACTCCTGCCAACAAGCCGTTATTTTAGTGGGAGGCTGGCACTCTGCCGCGAGTGGGAGCTGAGTCAGGGCGAAGGAGGGGCAGGCCGAGCCTGGGCCTCCAGAGCTGTCTTGCTCACAGCTTACAAATGCCCTTGAAATGCTGATGCTGAGGCCAAGTCACAGCTGATTCTTCAGGTGCAGGTGGTGATGCTCTGCTCCTGGGGGGGAGGATATTTGGGTTTCAGTGCAGCTGCTGCCATCTAGTCAGTAAGGGCTAGGAGTGGAGAGCAGTCATTTGCCTTTCCAACAAGCGGCCCCTTCTCTCTTACAGGCCAGCTCCAGAGGAAGCTCTTAAGTGGGGGGAGTCTTTGGAGAAATTGCTGCTTCACAAATGTAAGTGTTGGCTGGTCGCAGCCTGTCCCCAGATGGGACAGTGGGTTGGGGGGGTTAAAGCCAGGGACTCCAGGAGGAGGTGGATGGTCTGTGGTCCAGACCTGTCTACTAATAAGGGATCTAGGTGGATAATGTGCAGTTCTGCAAGGGGAAGGCCAATGTTGTTTGTCTCTTCTTGAGTCAGTTGGCTCTGGTCTTCCTATTCAGGTGTTTAATTCACTCTGAGTGAGTCCCCATACCCAGCTTTCAGTGTTGTGCTAAGGTGCTCTGGTCCCTGCGAGGAGAGGAAGGGGCAGAGCCTGTTCCTATGGAGCTCTCTGTTCTTGGAGCACACATTTTCACTCCCGGTTTAACTGTTTGGCCAATTTGGCTCTTGCTGTTTTAGAAAAACAGCCATGTTAGACATTCCACCTCAGCCACGGACTGTTTGCATTCTGGCTCATACTGTGCTTTCATCTGTGGTTGCTAGACAGCACGTTCAGTTAAAGCAGTGTTTCCCAGCCAGGTGTACATGTACCCCTGGGAATAGGTGCCAAACTGCTTGAGAACACGAGAGGGGAAGGAATGGAGAAGTACAAGAATGGAAAGAGGAGATGTAAGTGAAGGGAAAAGAAGAAAAAGGAGAAAGGAAGACCACTCTATTGGCATCTCTGAGTTGTTGCACTGAGTTGCTTTTCTATTCTCCCCACCACAGAATCCTTTTGCCATATAACAAGATTAGTAAGGAGAATGTGACCCAAACATGCTTGAGAACCACTGAGTTAGAGGAGGAATGGAGTTACTCTGCAGCTAGGCTCAAGCACTGAGTTGAAGGGGCCAGAGTCTGGTTTCATCTCTGGTGCTGATGCAGTGTGTCCCTTCCCCTCTCTGTGCCTCAGTTTCACCTCTGTAGGAGGCAGGTGATGAAATTTTCCAATCTCATTGGAGCATCACTGGGGTAGGCTAGAATGTTTGTTTGTAAAGTGCTTTAGGAGCCTCCGATGGCAGGTGCAGTAGGAATGCAAACTGGGGCTGTGTCCTGCCCTAAAGCCTTTTACAGCTGCAGAACCATTGTGGCATTGTGCCCCAGAGGTAGTGGCATTGAAGCACGCACACCTGCACACTGCCCACACCTGTGCACAGTGCTGTGCTGGGGCATGCTCCCCTGGATAAGGCAGGGGGTAAGATAAGGGCTCCCATTTCTCTGTAGTTTTTAGAACTGCAGTCTCCAAAGCCAAGCCTCAGATTCTTGACCCCTGCTTGGGTTCAGGCTGCTCAGCCGTCACATGGTCAACATGGCTGGACTTCGTCTGGCACTAATCAGAGCGTTGCCCAGACCCAGTTTCTTCTCTGTGGGGCCCAACAGAGCCTCAGTACAGAGTTGTCCCCTCTTCAAGATGCCCAGTGACACTTGTGAACAGAGGTCTACAGTGACTCTGCACTGGGTCATCAGAAATTTTCTCTTCCCCTGCTTGCCCCTGGGTGATAAAATATCTTTAAACCGTGAGGCCTAGCTCTGCCAGTGATTTTGTGCCTTCCCTCAGTGTCCTGACTGCAAGAGCAGTACTAGATCAGAACTAGAATTAGTTCTAGACCTAGGCTGAGGGCTGGGAAGATGTCAACAGAATGACAGAGCTCAGGTCATGAAATACAGGGACTTAGCTACATTAAGCAAAGACACACTCTTTGAAAGTGTGGTAGCTGAACCCTGTTCAAATTCTCGTGTAGGTGAAGCAGTTGCAGGTTTGGGCTGTGAGAGCAAGTCAGGCAAGTGCTTGTAGTGAGCCTAAGATTTGCCATGGCCAACCACCATGAATGAGGAAGACAACTTCCCTTGTCTACACTAGGAATTTTGCCTGGGTTAGTGAATCTTTTTAAAAGCTGCCCCTTTTCTTCTGTCGGGGGGAGAGGGAGCAGAGCCCAGCCCCCAGACCTGGGTTATTTGCACACCAAAACATGGAGGAGCCAGATCAATAGCAGGGCAAAGCATCAGGGAAGCACCAATGTAAGCTTAGGCCTTGGTAGGAGCACTGCAGAAGGGGAATTATTTAGAGGAAGGCAGAGGAGCTTTAAGGAGGCCACCATCTGCTTTCAGGGAATGTCTGTGACTCTTTCCCTGTTTGGGATCTGGGGTAAAGCTTTCTCTCTGATCCTCTCCCTAGATGGTCTGGCTGCCTTCCGGGCATTCCTGCGAACAGAATTCAGTGAGGAGAACCTGGAGTTCTGGCTGGCCTGTGAAGACTACAAGAAGATCAAATCTCAGTCCAAGATGGTGTCCAAGGCCAAGAAGATCTTTGCTGAGTACATTGCTATCCAGTCGTGCAAAGAGGTAATGGAGCTCATTTGCAGCTGGGCCTGTCACACATTGGAGATGGGGTGGGGGGAGTCTGAATGGCTGGGACCTCACATCAGTACATTTGAGCTTGTGCTGTGGGAGTGGTGGTCCTTGGGCCCTCACAGTTGGTCCATTGGCCCCTTCCATTAGCAGACCTGTGGCAGTGAGGTGGAATCCCAGCTCAGCCTGTAGCTAATTCTCCCAGCCTGATAGAGAAGAAAAATTCTTGTATGTGCTGTGCTGGCCTCCCACCAATTCAGTCTGGCTTCTGGGACAAGACTCCTCTTTCAGCAAAGCTGTTTGGCTTGTTCCCAGTGAATCACGTTCTCTCAGACTTGCACAGCCACCTTCACCAAGGGCTTGTGTGCATGTTGCCTCTCTTGCATGTTGGCTTCCTCTGTCAGAGCAGCATCCTGAAGGAACCACCAGGGAGGAGCAGTTCTGCCTCTGTGGCCAGCCAGGGGCCAACTAGCGCTAAGGGTGATGGTGGCTTCATATTGTGGCTACCTAACCCCCTTACATTATGGCTTTGAAAACCTATATCTAAACTGAGAGATCTAATTGGCAGCAATACAACAAATCATTCTCTAGCCATCCTCTCAGTGCTTGGCTACTACGCACTGTAACTTACACCTGATTCTTTAAAGAATTCTCTCTCTGGCCCCTTACTGAATGGAGTAATAGATCTCACCCCTCCATGGTGATGGCCCCTGAGCTGATGAACTTCTTCTTTTGTAACACCTGCTAGATGATTTCTTTCTGGCTCGTGTTTCTAAGAGATGATTCCCGTGGTCTGTGCCTGTGTCTAATATTTCACCCCAGAGGGGGACAGTGTCTGTCAGGACACAGTGAGTGAACTCTGTAGAAGGGCAGAATAGCCTCAAATATCGCCCTGTCTTGGGCGAGCAGGTGTCTGTGCTGGGCACATGTCTGTATGGAGAGAGAGCTGATAAGAGACTGTCCTTTGTTACCTGGTAGGTGAACCTGGACTCGTACACACGGGAGCACACCAAAGAGAACCTGCAGAACATCACCCGGAGCTGCTTTGACCTTGCTCAGAAACGGATTTATGGGCTTATGGAGAAGGACTCTTACCCCCGCTTCCTCCGCTCTGACTTGTACTTAGATATAATTAACCAGAAGAAAGCCAGTCCCACGCTGTAGATCCCAAGGAGACTCTCTCTGGGGCAGACTGGGAGCTGTATGTTTACATGAAAATTTATTGGTGGTGGCCTTCTCTGAGTGGAATGAAGGGAGCGGGCCTTCCTGTCAGCATTCACAGCTTCCAAAGCCATGGCCACGCAGTGGCTAGGCATGCGGACAGGCAAAGGCAGAGAGCCTGAGGCCAAGGGAACTGGAAAATCAAGCAGTCTGGTACTGTTCTGTTGCACCATTCTCCCAGAATCTCACTGTCTTGCTGGTACGACGCCCTATGGAAGAACTCTGGCATGAGTTTTAGCCACGAGGGAAGCTCCCACAAGACTACTGTGAAGCACTGGCCTGAGCTTTGTATTTTGTTTTGAAGGGTGACAAGTGACCCCAAGTCAGCAGGGAGTGGGGCTTTTGGATGGGGGTTCTGGCAAGGGGAAAACAACAACACAAACTTTTTTCCTGAACAAGATGTCTGAACTGGACCAACCCTGGGTCAGTGGGGTGGTTGTGCTTCCCCTTGCCTGGGAGATCCCACATTGGCCTAGCCCTGGTGTTCCCCCCTCACGGAAGCAAACAACAGCCCCCAAATCTGGGGGCAGAATGGCACTTCCTTCATTTGTCTGTGGCGATTGACCCCTTTTGAGCAGCGGGAGCAGGTTCTTTCGCCCTGCACTACAGGCACGCAGTGAAACTGCTTCCCCGCGCCGATCTCCCACCTTGTGGTTTATTTATTGATCTCCTGTAGTTGGGCGCGTGCTGTGTAATAGGAACTCCTTGCGTCCCTTTTCCTTTCTTAATTTACAAGTGCAATATTTTTGTGCGTTGCATCGGAGTTCTGCGGTGGAATGGATGCCTATCTCTCCGGAGACGGTGTACACAATTGTGTATGTTTGCAGGTTTTATCTGACAAAACCATGTGCTCCCTAGCAGCAGGCCGCTGGGGGATCCTGGGTGTACATATCATTCTGTGATGACAGAGGGTTTGACTGTGTAGATAATTAGCTGTGTGAATCGGACTCTCTCACTGCTCTGGAAACGATGTCGTGTTCTGGGAGGCATGAGTTAGCGATAAACCTGACGGAACTGGACAGTGTCTTGTGTCCAAGTGCCCAGTTTACAATGCAAAGCATCTCTGCAGCTAGCAAAAACATGTTGTCATGGTATAGTGTAAATAAAAGGAGAATATAATTTCTTGCACCTGCCTTTTCTTCATGGTTTATTTTTTCAAAGAGCTGGCTCCAGCATTGACAAGGGTGTCCATGAGTAAGGAGGAGACACATTAATGTTTTTGCCTAGAGGAATGCTAGGAAAATTGTGCTCTAGAAGACTTGGCATCCCTTCTAAAGGCCAGTTAGCAGCTAACCATTGTTTGGGCATGACTGATGGTGGCTAATCTGGGGCCAGATTTAGCTTTTGCACGAATACAAAATGATTTTTTTCCCCAAATTCAAAGTCACGAGGGCTGTTACCATGAATCTATTTTTGAAACACACTGCGCTCCAGTGGTGTTTGCAGCCCAAACATTGCAGCTGTGAGCCAGGGCATAAGACCTTGAGGATGGAAATGACCCAAAAACACAAGTGAACAAGGCTGTTTCCCCTGTTCAAAGAAATAGCAAGAGTGAACCAACAACAGCTGTAGCAGCACGTGGATGTTTCAAATCCTTGTGCTGCACCGTTCTGAAGGGCTGTTCCTACCTCTACACAGAGGACTTGGGTTAAAATTGGAGCCTTCCAACACAAGTCTCCTTTGATCTGAGTTTATACCTTGATATTCACTTGTGTTAGATGATCTTTTTAAAACCTCTTAGATCTATTACTCCGTCACTGGAAGTCTTTTTACACCAGGTCTGTCCAACTGCTGGCCCACAGGCTAGAGGGGTTAAGTTGCAGCTCCCAGGTTCCCGCTCAGCTGCTGCTCCCCTCATTGCTCTGGCTGCAACAGCAATCAGGGCCTCTGGGATCCTTTTCCCTCTTCTGACTGCTGCTTCCTGCCCTTTTCCTAGGGGGCAAGGCAGTGCCACACAACATGAGGAGTGGAGGATTAGTTCAGGGCTGCACAGGAGTGTGGTGCAGTGGCAGGATGCAACCTGTGGCTTGCCCCCCTGTGTTTTGTACGGTGTGGCCCTCACGGGTGCTGCCTGCAGGATGTGTGGCTCCTGACCACTTGGATGTTGCACAGCTCTGCTTTACACCAAGACTGCAAATTTCCTCCAGCTTAAGCAAAAGGTTGTGGGTTGCTTTGAAGCCTCCCACTGATGGAGTTTCTCTTGGCCATTCCCACTTGAGGCAGCCTTATTGTGAGTGGTGCTGACTCCCAGCTCCCCTGCTAAAGCCCCCACCCCGCAGACCTCTCTAGGTTGTGCACTCCAGCTGGATTCCCCACAATGAGACTTCATCATAGTGGTGGTGACTTGTCTAAAGGATTCTCCTCTAGGGAAGAAGTATCTGGGGCTGTGGCCTATTCCTTGTGGCTACACTAGGTATCTGGTTCATGCCTGGTGCCCTCCAGGGGTGGAAGTGCTGAAGACAGTGCAATAGGATCAGGAGCTGTATCCCTCTGGAGAAATCATCACCTCCATGAAGGATTTTTACATTGATGCAGCCAGGGGAGGGAACATAAAAACTGGGGGATGTTTCCATTGCTGAGTCCTGAGAGGATTTAGATATTTCCACACTGGTTTTACCAGCTGGTTTTCTAAGGGAAGGATTCAATAGGGAAACCAGTTCTAATAATTTGCCAAAGAAAACATTTCAAAGGGTTTTCTTTAGAGAAGGATCCTCCAAGCACTGAACATGGCTGCTGCTGCTGCTCTGCAGCTCATTCACTGCTGGGAGGGGAGGGAAGAGCAGGGCTGAGAGTGACCACCTCCAGTTGGTGGGCATTTTAGTAACAAGCTTTTCCCAGTGCCTCACATCTCAGGACAAGCCAAGACTCTTCTTATTTTTCCAAAGGATTGATTGCCCTGGAATGGGGCAGGAATGGGGCAAACTGGAGAGGGAGACCAGCCAGAGATGCAAAGGGCTGACTTGTGGGGCTTCCCAAAATGTTCTCATCTTTGCTCAAGATACCTCAATGTGGTGACTAAGTGACCTACAACCATGCACAGGCACTCAACAGTGCAAGCTTCAACCCTGCTGCTGGGAACTGGCCTCTTGTTGGCACTGCCTGCTAGCGGGCTGCATTTTGGATAAACAAAGCCTGTTTCTTTTACCAGAAGCTGCTTCACTCCCACACGTGGCTTGCAAGCGAAAGGGAGGCCTCTGGTTGAAGGGGAGTAGCACTCAGGCCTCTGACTGAAAGTGCTAGTACTTGGCCCCCGAGCTGTGGGCCTTATTCTGCACAGCAACTCAGGAGGTGACCTGTGTCATGTCTTGCAGAGGTGCTAGCAGGGTAGTTGCGCAAGGCTGGGCAAACACTGGGGAGCAGCCATGTATGTTCTCATCACTTAAAAAATATCAGCCGAGGGGTTGGCCTTTCCAAGACTAATGCCTTGGCAAGGGCAGCCCCTTGACTGGTATTTTTAATTATCATGTAGGAACAGCCCTTCAGAATGGTGCAGCAAGAGGATTTGAAACATCCATGTGCTGCTGCTGTTCATTCTTGCTATGTCTTTGGACAATGGCACCTGGAGATTCATAGATTGTACGGGGCTGGAAGGGACCCCGCAGATCATTGGGTCCACCCACACCTCCACCCCCCCCCAGACTTTAGGGGGTTGCTGGGGCAGGGAGGGGGCATTCAGCTTCTCACATGCTCAGATATAGGCCAGGGTGCCTGCCCTCATAGTTCAGCACTAGCCGACCGCCTCAACCCTCACCTTGTGGGTCAGGCTGTAGGACTCACTTTGAAACAGGACACCTCTGGTTCCTGGTGTGGTCTCAGGCTGGGGGTGCAAGCCCTGCACTAAGGGAATGACGCACCCAGGTGAAGTGCTCTGGCAAGACACCCCAGGCCTGATCTTGGCGCACCCCTGTTTCTGGCCTGGCAGTGGGTCTGTGACAGGCATGGCATTACCTGCCCCTTGCTAGCCCAGTATGAAATCAATGACATGGCTGGAGGAAAAGGCAGCACCATAGGGTCTGCGAGCCCAGATTATGCAAAGGCAAGATAGGCTGTTTCTCCCCAGTGGAGAGGTATCCAGGAAAAAACCATCATCATCCTGATTGACCGAGAGTAGAGGCCATGATAGGAGGTCGGCTCTTCTTCTTCCCAAGCTGTCTTTGCCCCAGGGAGAGTAAGAGAATATCAGCTTCCAGATCTGTGCGTAGTGGGGAATCAGGCTCATACCCTACAGTTGTGGCTGGTGACTGGAATTCTTTTGAGCATGGGATCATAGTTTCATAGTTTCATAGTTTCTAGGGTCGGAAGGGACCTGAGCAGATCATCTAGTCCGACCCCCTGCCATGGCAGGAAGAGCACTGGGGTCAAATGACCCCAATAAGGTGGTCATCCAACCTCCTCTTAAAAACCCCCAGGGTGGGAGCCTGCACCACCTCAC